AAGGCATGCGGAAAGAAGGGAAAAAATACCATGTTATACATGAAGGGTTGGCCCCTGTTATGGCCTGATGGCTGAACTTGATTTGGCCCAGGAGGGCTGGAGGTTTCAGCCCTTGCAACAACAACAACCTTATAACATGATAAAATAAAATTTGCATGGGAAGGTACATGAATACACCACATAATCATACACATTTACACTTTCATATATAACACAGCTAACAGTCATACGAGGGCCATCCAGGAAGTAGATTACGTTTCCGTCTGTGTCCGCTAGGGGCGGGGCTAGCGCGGCCATCTTGGGGTCAGAGCGTTGCGCAGCTCAGTCTACATCTAGCCGTGCTAGTGAGAGGTTCGTGCTGTGCTCCATTCAGATACTGTGACGGTTTGAAATGTCTGCGTTAATTGAAAATCCCGCGAGCTGCGAGGTGCGCTCAGTAATAAGGTTTCTGACTGCAAAAAACTGTAAACCGATAGAAATCTATCGGCAGCTTCGTGAAGTGTATGGGGACAACATTATCACTGAAGGTGGAGTGCGTCAGTGGGTCATAAGATTTCAAAATGGCCGAACCAATGTTCACGACGAAGATCGAAGTGGGAGACCCAGCATAGTGACCGCCGAACTTCTCGAAAAAGTCGATGCTAAAGTCCGTGAAAATCGAAATTTCACAATAACGGAACTTTCTTTGAGTTTTCCACAAATTTCGCGAAGTTTGTTGCACGAAATCATCAGCGAAAAGCTTGGTTACCACAAGTTTTGTGCAAGATGGATTCCAAAAATCTTGACAGAGGACCACAAAAATCAGCGAATGGCTGCAGCGTTGAACTTTTTGGACGCTTACCATAAGGATGGTGACTCTTTTACTCGATCGCATCGTTACTGGTGACGAAACATGGGTGAAACATGTGAACTGTGAAACGAAATTGCAATCAATGCAGTGGGGGCACACAAGTTCTCCCCCAAAAACCCAAGAAATGCATGCAAACAATGTCGGCAAGGAAGATGATGGCGACTGTTTTTTGGGACAGAAAAGAAAAGGTGTAATTTTGGTGGACTTCCTGGAAAGAGGCACTACAATAAACTCTCAAAGGTATTGCCAAACTCTCCAAAAACTCAGAAGAGCAATTCAAAACAAGCGCGCAGAGGAATGTTGAGCTCTAAGATCTTGTTGATTCACGACAACGCCCGGGCCCCACACGGCAAATGTCACTCGTAAAGTTCTTGAATCTTTTAAGTGGGAGTTGTTTCCTCATCCGCCGTACAGTCCCGACCTGGCACCGAGCGACTTCCACCTATTCCCAGCAATGAAGAAGTGGCTGGCTATGCAGCGTTTTGATGACGACGCACAGCTGCAAGAAGAGGTAACGAAGTGGTTGAAGGCGCAGGCGGCCAAATTTTTCGACGAAGGAATTTCCAAGCTCGTACATCGCTACGATAAATGCCTTAATTTGTATGGTGACTATGTAGAAAAGTAGTATTTGAGTGTGGCTTTCATCTGTATATAATAAAATTTGTTTCCTATACTTTGTTTATTTTTTTATTCCAAAACGTAATCTACTTTCTGGATAGCCCTCGTATTTTGGACACATCATCTCCTTGCCTCACCCCATATAGTTTGATTCAAGCTTCATTACTATCTTACATTTACATACCACAATGTGGTAAATGTACATATATACATGACAGAACATGCGATAAATCACTGGCTGCTCTGAACATTCATCAAAAGTAACAAGATCCCGATTCCCAACAATGAAGCCCCGTTCACAAGAGCTGATTCAACCAATAGTGAAAACTGATTCTTCCAATGTGTCCCGTTCACATGGCGACAAGCATTAACTGCTTCTCTGAATTGGAAGTAGAATATTCCTACCTCTCGGGAGCAAGGCAAATGGGGAGATTTTCCATATTGCACTGCGTGATTGCGCAGTTCACTTAATGACTGCTCGCTAGACTTTCAGCAAAACAATCGAGTTGGTAGACATCTGAGGATGCGATATCATCCAAAAAAATTACATCGAATCATACGAAATACGGAAATTTGTAAACAAGTACAGACAATGTTATCTGATGCTGGGTATTCCAGAAATACCGTTCAAATTAAAACTAAAGATGTGCATGTCGGCTTCAACTCGACAAGGGGACTTGGTACCTTTTGAATGATTTTTTTGTTTAAGAACTTTCATCTAGTTTTATGAATGTTATTAAATGGTTTTGTAAAACAAAATAATTTTAAGCTGAGAAAAAAATTTTTGGAAGTATTTTTTTTAAAATTTAAATTTTTGGAAGAAAAATTTAACAATTAAAATGTCATTCTTTCACAATTTTCAATGATTTTCCCCCCAATTTTCTTATTGTACTTATTAGAAAGTTCTTAATAACTTTATGGATCAATTTTGCAATTAATGTATTTGTTTCTGAGAAAAAATAATAACACATTTTTATGCAAAACAAATATTATCTCAATTACATTTCCACTTCAAATAATTTTTCTTTTCAGTATTTTGCAAAATCCATTCTTATTTCTATAAAATATATAATTTTAATTAAGCGGTAAAAATATTAAATAATTTAGCCCATATCTATACAGGTTTTAAGACTTTAAATAAAAGAATTTATAAAAAAAAAAAAAAAAAAAAAAAAAAAAAAAAAAAAAAATGAAAACTGATAAAATGCAGTTTAAAGAATATAAACTGTCTATATGGTCATTAAATCATTTCAAATTTCTTAAAAATTTTATTACTGAAGTTCATTACATATATATAAAATAAAACATAGTGCTATTCAATTGGTTAATATAAATATAAATTACAAGCTTTTATTTAAAATCTTCATAAACACGTTTAAAAAAATTTTAACAGATGAATTAATTATATTATATTTTCTAAAACATTTATAATCAATATAAAAAATTTATAATTAATATTAATGATATTAATTTGTTGATTAATTCATTTTTTCGAAAAGCAAAGTTTGAAATTTTAGCAGCCACAAAACATTTTATTTAAAACCGCTCAGCTGCATATATGGTTTCTTTTCTCCTTTTAATCATTTGGTCTCGTATATAAATTGCATTTTAAATTAATTTAGGTGTATTTTAATTAATTAAAGAGTTAAACTCCGATGGCGTTCTGTAGCCATAGTAAACAATGACAAAAAAGATGCAAGTAAACGTTAGAAATCCACCAAAATCTGAGTCACCTTTGTGACATCATTCATTGCTCGCAGTGGCTTATGGGTTAAGGGATGGAAGACGATGTGCATCTGAACCGGTCCTAAAGGTGAAACAGCTTCATATCCCCGTTTCTCCTAATACAAACGGCGGCTGTGTGAAAGAGCATTGTACGTGAACGGGGCTTTAGATTCATATGGAAACATTCTACCGTGCACAGTTACACTGGGTTGCTGAGGTGATTTTCAGCGGCTTACAAAATAAACGTATGACTTGTGAAATATTCCTTGATTTAGTTAAGGCCTTTGTTTGTGTCTGGCTGGAGGGCTTTTCCAGGATTGATTACAAACATCATTTACTTCCATCTCAAAGATAAATACTTTGTCGTTTATATCAATTTGCATTTATTCTTCATGCTGATCTATTTCGGCCAGTGTTCTACAAGTATCACTTCTTGGTTCTATTTTATTAAATCTTAACACAAACAGCATCTCATATATGCATATATACAGATGACACTGTAATTCTTACACAAAACACATCTCTTAGCTCATTTGAACAAGCACTCCAAACCCACATTTGTGCACTGGAGGCCTGGCTTCAAGCATGGAAAATTAAAATCAATGTGAGAAAATCAGATATTATTTTATTTACCAAGAAAAAGAAAAATGATAAAGTTTTTATGTAAAACAGCTTAATTTTGCAGATCAAGCATGTTCTTATATTTGATATTATTTTAGATTAGCAATTTACATGAAAACCTACACTTCATATATTTAACTAAACACTAAGCACATAAAGTTACCTCCCCTCCCCTCCTATAATTGCTTGAGACAATATTTTATCTACCAGAAAGCAAATTACTTACCTATAAGGCCATTTTGCATCTTATTATTTATGCCTGACCTGTCTGGGTTTATGCATGTGATGTCTCTAGTAAGTGAATCTAAGTCGTGCAGAATTATTACCTAAGACAAGCTACACACTGTAGGTGGTTCATAAGAAGTAAAGAACTCAATGGTGAATATGACATTAAATCCATCAAAGTATTCATGGCCCATTTAGCTAAGAATTTCCATAATAATAATAATAATAATAATAAAAACCCTAATGCAAAAAAATAACATAATTATCATTTTAACTTAGAATTATAATGAATCCAACATTGGTTATTTGAAGACAGCACAATTAGCCTTTTTCATTTTTTACTTACATCTTTTCCCTTTCCCCAATTATGTGGCTGCCTATGTTCTGGATTGAGTCCACCTACACCCTTAAGAGTCTCAAACCACTGTTTGCAAACTACCTCCCACTGTTTGCCTACTGTTTTGTTTTCTTCCCTTTACCCAATCAGCACAGCAGCAGTCATATGACTAAACATCAACCAACAAGATCAACTACTATACTCCTCCTTTTCAGAAATGCTTCTGATATGACCATCAACTTTACATTATTCACATGCAGCTCTGTTTTAATTATAGCTGTTACATATGTTTTACTCTAAACTATTCGAAAATTTCCAATACGAATTACTCTGGGATAGGATATCTGTGTGGGGATCCACATTTTTTAAGTGTATTCACCTGAATTATTTCTTGTGTTTATGCTTCAATACATAAATTGCCCACATACAAAAAGTTTTTTTTTTTTTTTTTTTGCAATGTGTCCAATCACAGAGTACAGTTGTGCCTCACGTTCTGAATACATACATAATGAATAATTACATAACATGTACATTAAGGAAGAATAACTTCACAAATTAATTATGGAAGGTGATTTTCTTAATGATTTTTCTTAGCTAAAAATATAAAATCATAAGAAAAATTACCCCCTTTCGATGTATATGCTTCTATAACATCTGAGTTTATGTTTCTCCTTTCACAAATTTTTGTTAAGCGAGCTTCTAACATTGCTTTTCGCTTCCTTTGTAGTCTTTGTTTTAAATTCCTTTGTTCTTCGGTCTGAAATTATATAAAGGATGAGAAAAACAAAGCTATTTAATGCCTTCAATTGTTTATTAAGCTAGAACTAAAAATTGCATTTTAAGTACTTACTTCTTGTCTTAAAGAAATTAATTCTTCCATTTGTTCTTTCCTCTTTGCTTCATCAGTTGAAAAAGCAAAATATCCTGTGCCATGTTCTCTCACTTCTATAACGATTAATTAATATTTAATTAATATTATGTAGTCAGATCATTTATCAAAATGACACACAGTGCAGTATGGGAAATCTCCATAGTTTCAAAAATTATATGTTACAACAGTTTAATTTTGAAGTAAATAATATAATTAAGCACATAATATTGAAAAACTGTATTTTGATATCAAAAATAAATTTATAAATTAAAAAAAAAAAAAAAAAACTTTATTCTGGCCAGCTAGCATATCAGAATAACAATATATGGGCATTCCTCTTTCCACCAACTTAATGGCACTAAGTTAATGGCAATTAGTTAATGGCAATAGTTAATGGCAATTAGGATATTACAGAACAGTCCCTTCACTCCCAGTCCCAGGCACAGGGGTTCAACCCCTGCCCTTGCACCTTGGAGAGATGGACGCATCACTTTTGCAACACTGATCATTGTCTGTGATTTGCTACCTGCCAGTCGTTCAGTCTGACCGTCACAGAGAGACATTACCCAGTGTACCTGGGACACTACCTCAGGCTACTAGAGCCCTCAACTCTATGACCTGCCAGCCCCACAGGCCGACCAATAAGTGATCTTTCTGGGGCCTCCAGAACCACTAGTATATCAGAAATATGAATTAGTCCTTGCACATTATGTCGCCGAAATAATCTGTTTTGTTCCTTATTTGTTCTAATTGCTTTTTTCTTTTACTATTAATGCAAAAATCCTCTTAAAAAAAGCAGTATAATTTTATCCTAAAGGTTATTTTTGACATTTACTATCTTGTCCACTATGACAGTTGGCTACCATTGAACTATAAAGCTTGTGGAGATCATGCCAAAGTTGTATCAATCATTCATGTGGAATGGTGAGTCGCACTTCTATGTGCTATTCTTAGAATAAAGCATAGTCAGTCTCTCTGCATAATCCACCAAATAACACTGTTGCAGGAGAATTTGACCTACTTCATTTTTGTGCTTCATAAAAAGACTTTCACTGATTCTAATATTTTGTAAGGCCCTCGAATTAAAGTATCCTTATCTTTATTTGCAATATGAGATTAAAAAAGCCACCATTTTTTGTTGGTAAATAAATAAATGTACAGGTCATGTCAACTGTGAGATTTATAAATTCAAGGTAAATTATTCTTCAGATAAAAGAAAGGGTAAAATCTTCAAGTAGTCTGAAGAGTTTAGAGTGCTAAGCATGGTCACTTTGAAAAAGCAAATTGACTCATTCGAAATCTAATAAAATGGAAGCTGACTCTTTCAAACTCTGATTAAATGGGCACTAGGAATGTCAAATATAGTTAGTTCATTTATTGGATCTGTACACATTTTGTGATGTTCTCTAGATAGATGTTTATCGCATGTTGAGGAAGCAATCTGAATGAAGTTTTAAAGAGACTTAGTGATCAAGCACTTTTCCAGTGTATTACCTGCTTGCTAACCTTCTGGTTGCAGAGGGATGAATCAACTGGATCCTTTTCATTATTTATTTTCTTATACAAATCCATACATGATTAATTTCTTAAGTAGATTAGTGAAGCCAATTATAAGTTCTGCCCTTCCACTATCTATCAACTGCTATTTGAGAAGGAATATTCACTCATTTACAAGGCCTCTTGAGAATTACTTATGTTAACTTTGCAGATAAGAAAATTCTGCCTCTAAAGGTACAGTGAGAATAAAAGAGATCTAAAAACAGTGTCACACCTATTTCATCGAAGTACTTCATACATAAGCCACAATTCACAACAAGTTAAACAGATGACCTACAAAAAGTTCTGATAGGTGCAATTAGGATATTACAGAACTGAAGAATCAGACTTTTGCTGATCTGAGTTTTAGAAGTGGCAGCAATGAGTTTAACAAACAGACAATTTTCTATTGATTAGCAGATATTTGTTTTGGTTTCCGTAAATTTGAACGCAATAAGTAGCAGATTTTACTAACCAATGAGTTTAATAAGCAGCAGATAATGTATTACAAAGTTTTGCAGTGCTCTAAAATTTCCTGAAATATCAATCAGTGAAAAATCTTTAATATATATAACGTAACTATATGCATGTACTGTGGGCTAGAATTTAATTTTCATTATTATATTTTTAGTATTTCACTGAATTAGTTTACTGTTTTAATATTTCACACATTACATTTTTGCTGGTGACTGCTATAGTCTATATAAGCTCATTGCTTGTGAATATTCTGAAATTATTTGACTTGGTGAGTTCAGGACATTTTTTATTTTTTGAATATATTATCTAACAGCATTATTTTAAGTTGTTTTAAAAGAATTACTTGTCATAGTTTTGTGAACCATTATGCTAACTAAAAAAAAATCTGATGTGTACACCACATGATTTCCTTGTACGGAATATTAAATTATACGCAATTTTTCTTGCATTTTATTTAAACTTATTAGATTGAATTAAACGTACTTCGCCGACAGCGCATAAACCACAATAGAATAAATGCATTCTTTAAAATTCACTTTTTTTTACCATAGCGATACTCTGGCGCTAGGTTTACTCAACAGTATTATATTTCGTTCATATTATAACTCTGAATGCATAAAATTTATATCATTTAAAGAATTATCTAATTGTTGCCACATGTTCTATTCAAATACTATAATAAAGCTAGAACTATGTATAAAATTAAGCAAACAAAACAAAAAAGAAACAGTTTTTCACAGACGATTGAGTATTTCTCATTCAATTAATTCAGTTCTCACTTCGCGAGAAGGCAAAAATACATAAAAACTCAAAATATCTATATTAAAAATTACGAAGTAAATCTCAAACACTTATTTCCTCGAAAAAATTCCAGAAAGAATTAAGCATGGTTTAATTGGCAATAATAAATGAATGCGTTATCTTTGTTGTTGCGAAGCTAAGTTTCTCTAGATTGGCAACAAATCCACTAGTCTCCTGTTTCAAATGTAAACATAAATGGCCGCCATTAAAAACAGGCTTATCAGCAATTAAACAACTTTAAAATTGCTGATAATTCTAAAAATGTTGCACACAGATTTACTAAAGGCATAAAATCCTTAACCGGAAGATAAAAACAACATAATTCAATCATTTTTAAAGCAAAAAATGTACAATTTACAAACATATAAGAGTAAAGAAACTGAGATCACTGAGCCGGGTAACAGAGTGGATATATTTATAAATATATTTATATACGTTTGGCACGGCCGATTGAAACCAAAATACGAGGTGCACATCTACATGTTATAGTAGTCTTATATACAAAATTTCAACGTTCTGAGGCTACTTGTTTTTGAGTTATGCGAGATATGTTCGTACAGCCGGCACGAAAAATTCTCTTCAGATTTCATTTTAAAGCAGTTTTTTAGTTTTTTTTTTTTGAGGAAAAGAGTCATTTATTATGTCCTTACGCACAGATATCATGCAAAAACATCGTTAAATTGCATTCGAAAGTGGATATTTTCGTTGAAATATGCTGCCTGAAGCTTTTCGCGATTACAATACTTCCTTTTTACTTCATACAAGGAAGTAATTACTGTTTGTTGATGGTTCTAATCATCAAAATATTAGTTTGGCCAGTTTTGTTTTGGTATGAGTTGTTAAGAATATATTAACTGCTAATGCAAAATTGTTTCATACTTAAAAACAGGTATAAAATACTGAACTTTCCAAAAAGCAGATGATATTACAGAAAAGTACATTTAGTTATTATTAATAACATGTTGTAGGCATATAAGAAGATGCATTATGGATATAAAGACACAATTATTACTTATTAAACAACAAATTATTAAATAAAACACATTGATTTTAACACAATCACACAATAATTAAATTTGTTACCATTATAACGAACATTCTGGTAATGCACAGGTTGATCAGCATCAGGTAATTCAGACTTTTTTCCATTTGATTTTTCAAAACTATGGACTGAGTTCTGTGTATGTTCCCTGAAACGAATTACAAATTCTGAATACTTATATAATAACATTTTAACAATTAATAAAGACATAATAACAATATTACTTATAAGATTTAATAAGAGTAAGGTATACATTTCTAATAAAGTAATATTTAAAGTGATAATGGTTTGAGTGATAACGTATCACTTGGATGTATGAACGTGCACATGCTTCACTGGGGAAAAATTAACAGTACCAAACACAAGAATGACGTCCTGCATCACTGTATTCACCTTTACACAGAAGCCATAGGACACTTCCCCCCCCTATGAGGAAATAATGCCTGCATGGATTAACATAAGTTAGTAGGCCAATACCTTGTAAAGAGACTTCTATGGCACTTCTTTATTGATATAGCTAGTGTTTTTTAAACAGATCCAAGATTATCACTAAGTCACCAACATAATTTGTACACCATTGCCCAGCAGTCCTAACCATGAGTTTGCTCATTACAAGCATTGTGAGTAGGCAATACATGCCATCTTATTTTCTTTTTCCATAAAAATGTTAACAGTTCACAACGATTAATAGTTAATGCATCACAAAAAAAAAAAAAAAAAAAAAAAACCCTCCGAGTAGGACCCATTTTAATACATTTTCTTAAAAAAGAAAAGTTAAAAATTTATAATTTATCAAAAATTGAAGGAGATTCTATAACATTCTTTGAAGAAACAAGCATTTAATCTTTCTCTTGAACATGAGAAAATAAACATGAAATGAGCGTATATTAATATATAAATATTTAGAGGGGGGAAAACTGTAGAATGCTAATTTAAAAATTATTATAATCATGCAAAGTACCATAAAATTAGTGTAAATAAAATAATTAAGTTTGAATTTTAACCAAACTAATGATGTTAGCTACCTAACATGAAAAAAAGAGAACAACATTACAAAAAAACTATGAAATTAATCTGAGATACAATGCAAATAAAAACATAAACAAAACAATTTAATAAGCTTGATAATCCTTTTTGTCTTTTTTTTCAAGGAACAGCCAAAAGCTGGAGTTGCATTTCTTAATTATACTTGGACGATTTGTTAAAACTTGGAAAAAAACTGATTAATTTTCAGGATACAATTTAATCCTTTTTTAAAGTTAAAAACAATTAATTACATAATTAGTATAAAGGTCAAAATAAAAAGAAAGTATTAAGGTAACTTAAAAAAAAAAAAAAAAAAAAAAAAAAAAAAAAAAAAAAAAAAAAAAAAAAAAAAAAATTCATCGAGATATAAACTGCGATTTGTAAGAAATTATATCTTTGACACATACATATTAAAATTAGTATTCAGAAATATATGGATACAATAGGTAATTACATATAAGACTATAAGCATTCTCATTTTTGAAACGATAAGAAGTTTCTATTAATAACAATTTATAGGGAATAAAAATATTAAAATTAATTCCTTATTTTTTAAAAAGTAAAGATTTTTACATGTATGTTGTTATTTGGAAGTTCAAAGAAGTAAAATTTTACGACTACTAGTAAGAAGTTATTATAAAATGGTGCACGGTACTTAATGAAGAAATTCAGTTGTAAGAACCACAGCTTCAAACTAAATTTTAAAATACTAAAAAGAAGCAAAGCATTATGGGGGGGGGAGGAACAGACAAATCAATAGCCAATGCATAACTAATTTTGTAGCTTACTGCCAGTCAATACAAGAGGCAGAAAATATTTATGTTGCAGAGTCAGTTGTAAAGCCAAAGCTTAATGCTAAACAAGTATGAATTTTGCTTTCTTTATATAGGTAGTTGGCTAGCTCAGACCAGATTAATATTCAAATGCTATTTTATTCACATTAATTTTGCAGCATTTTATATAGCATTAATTACACATTTTTTCATTATTAATCTCTAAATATATAAATATATGTGTCAATGAAAGCACTGAGGTGCACTGCAAAAAGTTGTAATTAGAAGAAAAATATAAGCTCTGGAAATTGGTTCAGTGTACCATTTGCAGTAGTGCTGTGATTTATTTACTATAGGGCAGAGGAACTGATTTTATTAAGTGGTGTGTGAAGTCTTAGCAAAAATACAACCACTGACTGGAACAGTTTAATAAAAGGGATATGCTTTCATAAAACAAATTAAATCAACAACCACATAAATGAACAGGTCACTCTAAAAAAGTATGGAAATAGACAAAAGTCTGTCCAGTGGAAGAACAATGCCAACAACCACATAAATGAACAGGTTGCTCTAAAACAGTATGGAAATAGACAAAAGTCTGTCTAGTGGAAAAACAATGCCAACAGGCTTCTTCTATTTGGTGGGCTATATGTTAAAAGAACTAGTGAATGATTTCTTTCATAGGTTTTGAATAAAGAGGCAACCACATTCATGGCAAAAAATCATGGATCACATACAAGAGGGACTGATGATTTTTTGACACTATTGGTGTGAGAATAAATCAGGTTACAATTACAGTCAAAAGTCGTTAATCCGGACTCGTCGGGACTTCTGCAATTCTGGATTATCGATTTTTCCGGATTATAGATCATCAGTTTAAATCTGGTAAGACGGCATGCAGAAATTATAAAATTAAAAATATGAAACCATAATTTATGAAATAAAGAACAATTATGATCTAAAGGGTATCAAAATTTTACAAAAAAAAAAAAAAAAAAAAAAAAAAGAGCTTAATATTTATTGTTTACTAAATTTACGAAAAAAAAAGAGCTTATTATTTATTTGTTTACTTTATTAAACATTTCTTTCAATGTAAATTGTTTAAGTTGCTTCGTTTTATGTGATAATACTTTCTCTTTAATTCTATAAACAGACATAATTTCTTCTTCAGTTACAAAGTTCCGCTGTTAAAGTCCTATAATTGTTGTGTTGAGAATACCGACTAATTTATCAATCGAAATTTTTTCGTTTTAAATAACCTCTGTAGCACTTTCTTCTTTTCGAAAGTGAATTATAATGATGAGGAATTTTATTATATCATATCAAAGACGGAGTACATCGAGATGAAATACTACATTTAGTAAGGAATTATAAGCGAAATACAATAAAAACATCTGTCCTGAAGATAAGGATAGTGCTGACAGATTAACTTCCAATTCATTGCGCACTGCGGCGTTTCGGCGTTCCCTCCCCCCGGACCGCAGAGCAGCGTGAAATTGATAAACAGATTTCGGAATGGTTTGAGAAATGAAGGATATGCCTTTATCCATTTTTTGCAGCAACTCCACTTTTTGTTTAATGGACTTCTAAACGTAATCTTTACGTTTTCTAAATGTTCTTTGTAAATCCTTTACATATTAGTAAATTTATATCAGAAATTCTATTTGACATAATCGAAAGTTCAAGCTTACTTTTATAAAAATTGCTCTAACAGTCTGCTAAAAATAATAAGCCGGATCCAATTCGAAGATTCAGGAACAACACAATCTGCAACATTAACTGAATTAGATAATTTTGGCTTAGCTTATACCGTCCGTTATACATTCAATGCGCAAGTGTAAACGTATTACGCGCATGTGCACACGCTTATTCGCAGCGGTAAAAGCATGCGCAGAAAGTTTGTAGCTTTGAGATCCGGATTATGGGTGTCAGAATTAACGACTTTTGACTGTATTATACTTATCCAACGATGGCTATTCATATAGAAAAGAATGAAAGACTGTGGGGCTTTGCTACGGACAGAAAAAAAAGCAACAAAGCATGGCTCATTGGTATCTTATGCCCCCCACTATAGAATCCATGTGACAGAATTCCATGGGACAAGAAAATACATTTGATGCCATACTAAAAGTGATTGCAGAAATATGGCAGCCACAAACTGTATGTGAGAAACAAACATAAACTTGGTGATAATCTTGGCACCATTTAAATAATGGGATCTTTAAAAATAAGTACTATAGTATATGAGAATTATAATAATTATTATTATATATATAAATTCTATTCAGTTACATGTGTGATATTTAAAAGAAGCATGATGTTGGCAATTTTTAGTAGTAAATAAATATTTGATACAAATCTTTAAAAATAAACATGTAATACAGTCAAAAGTCTTTAATCCGGACTCGTCGGGAGTTCGGCGATTCCGGATTATCGATCATCAGTTTAAATCTGGTAGGCTGGCATGCAGAAATTATAAAATTAAAAATATGAAAACATAATTTATGAAATAAAGAGCAATTATGTTCTAAAGAGTATCAAAATTTACAAAAAAAAGCTTAATATTTATTTGCTTACTTTATTAAACATTCCTTTCAATGTGCGCATGTGTAAAGTATACATTATGCATAGTCGAAATTAGAAAATTGCAACCAGAAAACTATTTGATGTGTATCCATGATATTTATAATGAACGAGTAATTTGATTTTAATCATATCAAAGATGGAGTACATCAAAATGAAATACTACATTTAGTAAGGAATTATAAGCTGAATAAAATAAAAACATCTCCCCTGAAGATAAGGATAGTGATGACAGATCAACTTCCAGTTCATTGCGTGCCGCGATGTCCCTCCCCCTGCGCAGAGCAGTGTGAAATTGATAAACATATTTTGAAATGGTTAGAGAAACAAAGGAGCCTTTATCCATTTTTTGCAGCAATTCTACTTTTTGTTACTTTAATAAAATTGCTCTAACAGTCTGCAAAAAATAATAAGCCGGATCCAATTTGAAAATTAAGGAACAATTCAATCTGCAACATTAAGTGAAATAGATAATTTATAGCTTAGCTTATACCGTCCGTCATACATTAAATGCGCATGCGTAAACGTATTATGCGCGTGCACAAGCGTAAAGGTGCGCATGCGCACACGCATCGCGTTGACGCATGCACAGAAAATTTGTAGCTTTGAGGTCCGGATTAACGACTTTTTAGTATATACATGACAACAACCAACCCAAATATGCACATATTTATTACATATATGTTTGGATAAGCTTGAGTTTACGCACTTCACATTTAACCATCATTTTGCTGATTAGCATTTTTTTTATCTACCAAATAGATTTCCCCCCCTCATCAAATTAATTATTTTTATTTCTTATAAAATACTTTTATTATTTATGAACAAAACAATATGGTTGAGCCACAAAGATAGAAAAACAAATGTTTGTCACCAGTTCACAACACTGAGACAGAGGAGCAGATAATCAGAAAGTACAGAAATTTCATTCTAATTTATTATATACAATGGCATCATGGTATACATCATTAATGCATTCTACATCCTTGGTTTATCCTTGAACCAAACAAACTTTTTCAATAAGAAATAATTGGAAAAGAATCAATCCATTTCTATAAAAAAAAAAGTCCTACTGTCATTATTATAACACTGTTTAATACTAAAATATAAACACAGGGAGAAAAATATATGCTGTACATAAATGAAACTCTGCATGGTACTATAAATAAATGTTTTTCTGCTATCCAGATAAAAAGCAATTTTTCAGCATGCTCCAATGTGTCTGATATTTATTTGGTAATCAACTAAGAGTTATAGTCTAAACAAATATTGTGTACCAACAGAAACTTCTGCATCCAAACAGAATATATACCAAGGTACTACTCTACTCAAATTGTAACAGTTCTCCCGTTTGCTCCATAATTTATGAAAATCAGCATAATTAACATTCATACATAAAAAAAAAAAAAAAAAAAAAAAAAAAAAAAAATATAAGTAATTTAGACTCTTGGTCAACATTTCCTATCTGAAATCTTAGTTTTTCATAACTGCTATTAATGCCAATAGTTTGTTTGGCCCGAACAAGTGCTTTCAGATAAAAATTAGACACAGCTATACTGGTAACCTTTCCATGCTTTGTTTAGTTAAATGATTTAACCTACTCTGATATTAACACAATTCTTAGATAGAAACACAGCGCCTGCAATTTCATTACCAATATGCTATTGTTCAATTTAACTAGTTTAAGCTAGTCTAAGCCATGGCTTAATTTCTAAAGTTAAAACTGAAGGGGCCCAGTGAAAGGCATCAGGAAAGATGAACAGAAATAAATTAATAATTCATAACTAAAAACTCAACAAAATATAAAGAGATAAACAAAAATTTAAAGAGAAACATACCAGCATAAAACTTAAAATGAGGCAAAAAACCTTATATTGACAGAGATCTTAAACATAACTCTATCAGTTTCAGGCACAATCAAACCAGGTCCCTCTTGTTTGAGAGCAAACCTTAATTAGCTCATAAACTTAATTTTGAGATAAAAATTTCACAAATTATTAAAATAATGAAAATAGAGTTAAATACTGAAATAAAATATTGGACCTTTTGGGGACTCTAGCTGAAATTACAATTCTCTAAAACTAACAAACAGCATAGCTGAACTCTTGCTGAATTTAAGCCCTGAATATACAGTATAATATAAAATTTCAAGGTTGATAGAAACAACTTTTTCCTTCCAGCAAAGGAATGAAAAAAGGCAAAATGGTTAAAGTACTACATATGAGAACAGAAAAATGATAGAAACAGTAATAAAGGAAAATTTAACAGATCTACAGGTATGGAAATAAGGAGAAAAGAGTCCCACACTTTCTGACCATGATTTTTCTGCCAATGTAGTTCTGGCTTTGTTTTCCTAATTGTTTATATTGTTCTAAAATGTCTGTCTTTATTTGCAGAAAGTTGTTAGCACTGGGCATGTACAGCCAGGGTGATCACTTCTAGTACCTTCGAGATTGAAAAAAATTCACCTGGATGAATGGGAGAATAAGTCCTTGATGTGTTGGTCAAAGGGTTTTCTTTTTTAAAAAGTCTCAACCTCTGTTCAAGCTTCGTGCTCAAGGGAAAGACAGGCATGCATTCAGAAGTCAGAATTTATTTTTAAGATTTACTTTTTATTAAGATAAAACTTTCAAGGTGCAAAATTTTCTGCCGAGACTATGGTTTAGTTACATAAAATTAAATATCTAAAAAAAATGAGGAATTTATTTGTATTTTTTAATATTATAGAATGATTATTTATAACCAATATTTCTAAGATATATTGCATGTAAAAGTGGTATTAAATAATATGCAAGTTTTATATAAAATGATTTTCAATAACTAAATTCTGATGTAAAAAGACAAAAAGGTGTTAACAAAAATAAATCATAAATAAAAATTATTTCATTAATGCTAACTTGGTATTATTTTGAGTATTTTCCTCTATTTTAGGAGAGTTGCAAGAGTCAACTGTTTCTTTAACAACTTCTGGTACTGGTGTGTCATACAAGACCTTCCTCTGAAAATCAACTAAGTATCTCTCACTTTCTTCCTCATCTGTAATGAAAATTTCAGTTACTAATGAATAAGACATGAATACAAAATATTTGTAACTTCAACATTACTTTTGGCAAACTGTTCAAAAGTGCAAATGTTGACAGGTAAGAAAGAAATTCTGTAAAATTAATTAATTTTAATACTTGTTGTGAGATCACTTGACATTGCCAGTGAAGACACTTGACACTGCCATCAAATTGCCAGAATGTAAGTCTGATAATAATCACATGTAGTGACTATGTAAAAGGTCTCATGCAGATACTTAAGTTTTAAATAAGCTTGTTTCTTTTTCTTTTTAAAATTTTTAGGAATAATTATTATCTTTAATAAATACTTTAATTGATTAAAATGAAACCATGTAATAGCAATAACAGTACAATCAAAACAATAAGCAGTTATTACTACAAACATTATGCTTTTGCAGAAAGTGCATGACTTAATAGCACAGTTAAATATATCAATTCAAACTCTGAAATCATCACAGTGCATTTTGATGAAAATTTAAGCTTTTAGTACAACTAAATTCACTTCTTAGTTAACAATCATAAGTGACTTTATGAGATCATATAAGTGCTTGGTGTTGTTCCCAGGTGCCCCTAAATCTAAACTGATTAATTCTGGCTCCTTCTGATTACCTGCTACCCCCTGAAAAATAATTATGAAGCAATCAAGTATGAAACCTAAAAAAGTACAGTCAAAAGTCGTTAATTCGGACACCCATAATCCCGAATGATCTATAATCCGGACCTCAAAGCTAAAATCTTTCTGCGCATGCGCCGCGTTGACGCATGCTCATAGGCGTTTTATGCTTCCGCGCAAGACATTAACGACTGCGCATATGCGTCTGCGCAAGTGCAGAATACGTTTTCGCGTGCGCGTTTAATGTATAATGGACGGCAAAAGCTAAAATTATCTAATTATCTATTTCAGTTAATGTTGATGATTAATTAATGTTGATTCAGTTAATGTTCAGTTAATCTTGCGTTGTTCCTTAATCTTCGAATTGGATCCGGCTTATTATTTTTTGCAGACTGTAAGAGCAATTTTATAAAAGTAAGCCTGAACTTTCGATTATGTCAAATAGAATTTCTGATGCTGGAGCTCCCAAAGGATCTAGGAAACGAAAGTATGATTCGATGTCCATCAAACAAAAAACGAATTGCTACAAAAAATGGATAAAGGTATATCCTTTGTTTATCTAAGCGTTCCGAAATCTGTTTATCAACTTCACGCTGCTCTGTGTGGGGGGGGGGGGACATCGCGGCGCGCAATGAACTGGAAGTTGATCTGTCACCACTATCGTTATCTTCAGGGCATATGTTTTTATTTTATTCAGCTTATAATTCCTTACTAAATGTAGTATTTAATCTCGATGTACTCCGTCATTGATATGATTTAAATCAAATTCCTCGTCATTATAAATATCACGAATACAAATCAAATAGTTTTCTGGTTGCAATTTTCTAATTTCGGCTATGCGTAAGGTACACATGCGCGCGTTAAAAGAAATGTTTAATAAAGTAAGCAAATAAATATTAAGCTTCTTTTTTGTAAATTTTGATACCCTTTAGATCATAATTGCTCATTATTTTATAAATTACGGTTTCATATTTTTAATTTTATAATTTCTGCATGCCATCTTGCCAGATTTAAACTGATGATCTATAATCCGGAAAAATCGATAATCCGGAATCGCCGAAGTCCCGACGAGTCCGGATTAAAGACTTTTGACTGTATTTATGAAGCACATGCACACAGCAGATGAGTGTGGATTTCCACCTTAAAAAATCTGTCATTTTTTTGGCTAAAGTTTGTTTTTGTACCAAGTAAGAAAGTGTAATAGGACTGTCAAGTTTACTGGCTGATAAAAAGGAAAACATTGCATTTCATTAGAAATACAGCATTTTGTTCGCATTTTGTCCAATAATACAAAATGCAAAAAATTCAAATTTGTACCTCTTAAATGATTGTCTTAAATGAAGTTGTACCTCTTAAATGATTGTCTTAAATGAAGTTGTACCTCTTAAATGATTAAATTTTATGAATTGAAATTTTTGACTGAGTTTGTGCAATTCTGATTTTTTTTAAAAGCAAAAACAGATTCGTGCTTGCAAGAGAATGAAAACTGCATTTACAATACCAAATTTGTAAAATTCTCAAATTTTATTTTAGAGAAAATAGATGACCATACATGAGGAGAAAAAAAAAATAGAAAGATTGCTTTATAAAAGTATATATTTTATTATCGATGTTTGATTATTTTCTAATTATATTCATTGAGTAATCTTGTATGGAATTTTTAATGCTCCAACAATTTTAAAATGGCTTTTGTTGTTCATGTATTAGCTTAATGAAATATGTAAACAGCGAGTTTGTAATACGACTATCTATCAAATTCATCTCATCTTGTTACCTTTAACGATTTTGAGGCAAAATATTCTATTCCTGCAGAATTTTCACCAATTTCTTCAACTGCCAGCAAATTCCACAAAAAGTATTTTAAAATTGAATTAAAGGAAAAAAAAAAAAAAAAAATATTATGACTTATTCATGAAAACTACTGAAACTTGGAATATAACAAAATGAAAGCATATGGATATGTTGATGTAGCTTGATAGATTCTTATGAGCAAGGTTGCCAGATTATGAGACATTCTGAAAATTTCACGCCTTCTACTAAGGTGATTGTGATAATACCTTAGTACCATAGAATAATGATATTTTTACAACTAAAACTTTTGATTGTCAAAAATGCAGTAGATTAATAATGTACAAGAAACATACACTTGTGTATAAAATTGAGAGAATTTAAATATTACGTTTTATTTTTGAAAAGCTAAAACAGATTTTGATGAAATTTGGTATGAATATACATATATAACGGAGAAAGAGATGTACCATTCAAAAGTTATTTTATGTGCACATGATTATTAGTAGAGCTCATACTACACAGGTGTCTAAAATTGACACTACGATATCGAACTGAAAATGAGTCTAATATGAGGTAGGGTCACTTTTCACATGATTCCTTTCCCTGATGACATTTATAACAGGGAAAGAGATGTACTATTCAAAAGTCATTTTATAAGTGCATGATTATTAGTAAAGCTCCTAGGGCAGGGATGCCCAAAATCCACCGAGAATGAATCAAATATGGGGTATGGTCACCTCTCACAGCTTTCATATGATCCTTTTAGCTGATGAGGAAGGGATGGTATTATGCTCCAGGTTTTCTCCAGATCCAGGTACACTGTAAAAGACTCATCTGTAAAAAGCACGATGCTCCACTGAAGTCTGAGTCCAAGGCTCATGTTGTCGGCACTATGCTAAATTCTTTTGTGTGTTGAAGTGAGAGGACGTAAACAGCAGGTCTTCTGGCATACAGTCTTATCTCATAAAGCCTTCAGGCAACTGTAGACCATGAAACTTGGGTTACAGTGACAGCATATAGCTTACATAAGAGCTGTGAAGGTGTAGCAGTCCTGTGTTGCTGCACTGAAAGTGTCCTGAAAGATCCTCATTCATCATTATGGATCTTGGTCGACCTAGTTTAGAGCTTCTCAATATAGATCCAGTGTCCTAAAACTGTTTCAATGAACTTCAGAAAGCATTGGTCATTACACTGAGTTCTGTAGCCACCTGTGCTTGTAAATGGCCTGCCTCCAATCTACCGATAATTCTCCATCTCATTCCATCATCCATACATTCATGGCTACTCATTTGGCCTGATACCTTACTAAAGTTGCCCAATTCTTCTGAGAAACACAGCGAGTGTCATGAAGGAGCACAAACACACAAATTGCCGAAAAACCATTCATGTGCTTATATTCTCTACACAATCACAGCTCATAGTAGAGAAGTTACATATTTGACCCTGAATATTTGCATAATTAGTACCCTTGGTTCAATACTTTTCAGAAAAATACACATAATTTGCAAATTCTCTTAATTTTGCACATGAGTGTACTTTAAGGTAACATGAAGATGAAATTAAACTACTTTCAAATGAGCTTTGGAACTTTGCTTGTACTTTTACTACAATTTTCATACATTATATCTGATAAAATATGCATTTTATATTACATTTTATTCATTCTAAACACAGTGCTCTTAAATTACTTTCAGATATATTTAAGAGATTCTCATTCTTGTTTCTGACACAATGCTTTCAGACAAGGATAGAGTACAAGTTAGGTTTTAAAAAAATTTAATTTCAAAAGAATGAAAATTATAAATTTAATTTTTTACACTTTAAAATCTCCATACACTTAAGTTTACAGAGTTTGGCCATCTTAGGTAAAATAAAATTAGACCAGAACTCTAGTGAATTATCACTAAATCTTATAAGTACTACAGAGACAGGGAAAGAGTGTAAAAGATCCTTTTATTAACTCAACTAAAGTTTAACAATAAGCACTAACTTGTGCTTACAGAAGCCAATAATTCTGGCTTAAATTAAAGATAATGGATGAACTAAAATTAATAAAATTAAATATAATATACTTTACAGAATGTAAATTTATAACTCACGATATTTTCATATCATATAATTCATATAATTTTTTACAGTATAACTAACACAGAAGCTGGGGCTGACTGAAGTTAGCATGAACAAGGTCTGATGGCAAGATTAACTTAATGCCACAGAATACTACTTATGAAAGAATGAAATTTAGCAATGTAGCCTTCAAGCTGGCAGAACACTTTCTAGTTTTACCCTCTAAAACCTTCCTTTAAATACTCTCTACCTAATTTGAATATTGCATGAGTTATAAATTTACATTCTGGCAGGGAAATGCACATTAGGGAGAAAAGATACAGAATTAACATAAAATAACTGGCCAAGGACTTATATGATAATTTACTAGGTAAAATTTGTAGTTACAATCGTACTTAATTCAAAATGTTCTACTTACTATTAATTAATGATAATAATAATAAAAACCACAACAGCAATAACAAGAGCAAAATAAAATAAAATAAAATTAAGAAACTCTCACCTATAAGAATTTTATTTGAAGTAATTTTTTCATACAATTTAGCTTTAGCTTCCAATGCTAATCTAAAAGGAAATAAAAGGAGGACTATCATAATTAGTGGCCAAATTTTCTACATTCAAAATACATCAGTATATTCTTTTAAATTTCTTAAATCCATACAAAGAGGAATTCCAATATAAACAGTGCAGAGAAAAATCTGACAGTTTTCAAAATGAAATAATTCACCAAATACAAAGAATAAATTTTTATTCGTGTTGTAGTTCTATAGTTGGAAAGAATAGTAAAAATAAAAACTATACAAACACACTGCTGGAATTTATCAGCAAAACTTTACATAATATTTTTCATACCATTTCTTTCAGTACGGGCTGTGAACTTTTAAGTAACTTCGTAGGATGTATGCACAAGCTAAAAGATCAATTGACTGGGATGGCTACATGCTATTTTCAAGCTGTAAAATTAAACATTCCAGGAATATCATCTTTAGCACTTCAATCAAAACTTTTAGCTGTGTTAACAATTACCCTATTTTATTGAAATCATGCATTAATTTGGCCTATGCACCTTCTGCGAAGTTCTGTAGTATTGCAGTGTATTATTTTATATTCACTGTTGCTGCTTTTTTTCTAACTTTAGCAAATAATTCAATTATTAATTGAATGTTTAAAATCAACATTCAATAATGATAAACATTAAAAATTCAATTATTATTGTTTAAAAATTACCTTATGAACTGAATGAATATTATTAAGATTATCAATCTGTAATGCCAATTATAGCTCAATTACAACAACCATTATAGCTGTAAAGCTATTATTATTAAATTAGAATATCTGATTACTTTAATACATTTTAATGTAAATGACAAATGCTTTAATATTTAATACATTTACATGACAAATGCTTTAATATTTAATACATGATTACTTTAATACATTTTAATGTAATGCAACATCCAAATATTAAAAAATTTATTAAGTATGAGAAGTGACTTTAACAACAATAATTTTGATATCAGGTCAGCACATAAGTAATGTCGTTTTCTGAAGTAGGCTTCTGAAGAAATAATAATAATAATAAAAAAAGCTACTACTTTAATCAACTATTTATCTGAATCAACAATGTTCTTACAGGAATTTTATGTTATCCTAAAGAAATCAGCTGGCCTATTGGAGCAAAAGTCTTGAATGTCCCGTCAAGTGCCTCATGGAAATGATAATTTTTCTTTCGATAAAATTTTGCAAGCTGCATAATAAATGATAAAAAATTTAAGAAACAGAATATTTTTTGCTATTAATAAAAAGCAGTGCCAATGGTAAAGGTGCATGAATTAAGAGACCAAGTGAACTCTAAAATATTTCTCACCACTATCTTTAACTTGTTAATCCCATTAATCTAGATGGGTTCATAAATTTATTTAGTTTTTGCCATATTGTGTGTGTAATAACTGAGGCATATGCGTGGAATAGGATATGTGATTCAATGGGCTAAGCAATTCTTACACAAAAGACAGGAATTTAATTTTTATGCTTCTGGGACCCAAAGTATCAGTGATTTTTTGTTTTACACTGATTACAATGGCATCCGGTAAACGTATATTTACAGGTACCCATTGGAGAAACTTGGCAACACATGAATACTAAGTTTGCAATTCTTGACTTGCTATTTTAGCTTGTGTAGTGCCGATTTTTGCGCCAAAAATCACCGCTACACAAAGCCAAAATAACATGACAAAGAATTGCCCAAACTTGGTATCCATGTACACATTGGCCTATTTTCACTTCAAAAAACATCAGCGAATTGCACAAACTAGACTTTGCACACTCTCTTGACTTTGTCCATGTACACATTGAACTATATTCACTTAAAAAGTCAAAGGAGCAGCCAATAAAAAAATACATAATCTCAATAAACTACATTTTAAATCAAACAATGAAATAACATAAAAAAGGAAATTAATCTTTGCACTACACGAAGGAACTATCGACTTACCTTATTTACGAATTAACACATCTTCAGTCAAATAAAATTCCTTAACTTCCTAAAATTATCTGAACTAGAATCTGTATACTGGCGTTGCCACATAAATTCACAAAATAAGAGTAAAAAATATGCTCCGTAACGACGTTCGACCATAGGCATTTCTGATGTTCAACCATACGCATTTCCTTCCAACAAACAGGACACCTAATAATTGCTACTAAGTAAACCTTCATTTACACACCAATCAAGTAATGCTCTTTTCCCCTTTCTTTCAAAATCATACAGAAAGTTCAAATTAATGTTACCACATTTGAAAATTTTATGGTCTAAACCACAAAACAAGCAATATACTTCCTAACGAACGTACACCACAAGCCCTTACAAATTTACCGCAATCATGGAACCAATTATGTCATAACAGGGTTTCCATAACATTCAACTACTCAGGCTACCATAAATGAAACAGCTTCGTGATAATAGGAGGGGTACCCGTCTCTCTACTCTAACCCAATCAAATACTTAGGTTACCATAAAGTAGCAGTAGTAGTAGCCACCTTTTCATCTTTTTTTTTTTTTTTTTTTTTTGTTCAATTCATTTTAGAAAATTCAGAGCCCCTCAAAGCACTTTTGTCTTATTCATTTTCACATTAATTGCAGTAATAACTATTTCTTTTCAAGATGAGCTTGTCTCATAAAAGTAATTCTTGCTTGTTATATCACTGGTAGTCTGGTTGATGGGGGAAAAAAAAGTGTTTCCTCTAATATTTGGGCCTCTTAATGCACATATATAATTTTATTCAAATGGTAATGTACTTTTTAATATTCCTTGTTTAAATTACTTCATATTTGGAAAAGAAATAAAGGAACTCGCTTCCAAAATTATAATTACCTTTTTTGAGTTGAGCTTTATTAAATTTATTTAACTGTAAAGATTTAGTTTTAACAATAGTACCATTTTAAATAATTAACAGAAGATCTCTAATAAGTATCAGATTGCAATTTTTTAGAATTTAGGACTTTCTTTTTTAAAATTTCTTCTTTTTTAGTAACTTAATGTAAACCACTTGCACTCGTGGAATGTCAAATTACCAAAGTTTCAGAATACTATAGAATGGAAAAAGGTAAACTGAAAATTAATATAATACTAGCAAGAAAAAATTTGAAAATTTCCATCATAGTATTTTTTTTCATTGTTTTAATTATCAATTACATTTCAAAGAAAGTTTAAAATATGTTTTTCTTGAAAAAATTCTCACTTATTTTATACAATATAAAAAATATTTTTTTTTAAAAAAAAGGAAAAAGAAATCACAGAAAGATACAGAAAAAAAAGGGGGGGATTTGCAATTCAAAAACTCACCGAGACTTTTCTAATGCAAGTTTCTCTTCAGTATCAACAGGCTCCACAGTCTCAATAATTTTTTTCTCTTTACTTGAATGCAAAACTTTCTGAACAAAGTAGACGAAAGAGATTTTATATAATGAACTAACTACAGAATATACACTGGTGATCAAAGTTAAGCTTATTAATATAAGAATGAATAGCTTGAAAAATATTTCAGTTTACTATAATGAACTTTTATATATAGATGATATATAGATATATTCATATTTGATACATGAATACTAGGAGACAGTCACAAAATATATAGATGTAAATGTTTTGTGATATATAAATGACAGTAAAATTGGCCAAAGTATGACACTTCACATTTCCAGAATGGTAACTTACGACCTTGAGAGCCTCAGACCTTACTCCGAAATTTCATCTTAGCATGACACTTGGCAGCTATGTCTCACTCTCAGCTACTTCACTGCAGGCTCTGCCATTAACCTCCTCATTGCTTCTTCACAACCATGTAAACATAAATATCTCATGATGCTGTTGCTTGTGATGCAACAACATGAAAGTGGCTTTTTAATAACTACTAGGTGCTTACATTTAATGCACCATTGAAACTACATGTGACATAAATTTTAAAATGTTTAAATAAACTTGGCGATTTTTTGGCGACCAACCCTGCTACGGCAACCTGCTAGTTTTCTCTTTTTGGATGCCATTTTGTTTTCACAAAGTAAAGGCACTTTTTTTTTTTTTTTAACTCAACATTTTTTTCAACAATCTACTAGCTGAATTACGTTTATGCTAGAACTTTTATGGAACAAAAGTGCTTAATCATGACGAAGATTAGGTGCAAAATTGGGAGAAAGTGCAGAATCGCCCACTGCTTGCCGTGCTTTTAAGAATTGCACATACACGGTATCCATGTGCACATCGACCTATTTTCACTTAAAAAAACATTCCAGAATTGCACAAAAATGGCATTGCGCACACTCTTGATTTTATCCATGTACACTGCTAAAGTCCTAGCTAGTAACCTTTATCGCCTTACCAAAATGTCGCTAAACTACCTGTTACGATATTCCAAAGATTAGCCTAGTATATAATTATATACTATATTTAGCTGCCAATTTTGAGATACACTGCCAGTCACCCCTACTAGTCAATTTTTTTATTACCTCTATACAATAAATTGAAAAATACAACCAGACTGTACTTTCTTTGTATACAAAACAACACTCAGTAGTTTTTCATGAAAGGAGAATGTTATCATTAAGCTTTGTTAAAAGTATGAGAAGTTAATGAGTCTTCTTGTATTTCATTCTGCCCAAGTTATGAATTGCTCATATTTTCTATTATACATTCTTAAATTATTTTTTCAGAATTAGTTTATATTCTCAAATAAGATTATTTTAAATAATACAACTTTTATTTTGAACTAAAAGTACATGAAAATTTATTTGTTATGCAACAAATGGATTTCCTCCTCACTAAAACAGGAGAAAGTACTCAGTAAGACACAGTGTTTGAAAAATTGATCATTTTAGATACATATGGTTTTAAAGGTTTTAACGAATGGCAAGGTTGGGGAAACTGTCTGAAGTAAGTGAACACAGAAAGATTTTCCAAAGTTTTCAATTAATGTTTAATATCACTAATTATATTTAATATTACTACAGTCAAAAGTCGTTAATTCGGACACCCATAATTTGGAATGATCTATAATCCGGACCTCAAAGCTAAAACCTTTCTGCGCATGCTCCGCGTTGACACATGCGCATAGGCGTTTACGCGTGCGATTAAGACCTTACGACTCCGCATTGCGTGTGTGCAAGCGCAGAATACGTTTTCACGTGCGCGTTTTTATGTATAACGGACGGTGTAAGCTAAAATTATTTAATATCTATTTTCAGTTAATGTTGATGATTGCGTTGTTCCTTAATTTTCGAATTGGATTCGGCTTATTATTTTTTGCAGACTGTAAGAGCAATACTAAAAAAGTAAACTTGAACTTTCGATTATGTCAAATAGAATTTTTGATTCTGGAGCTCCCAAAGAATCATACAAAACGAAAGTATGTTTCGATGTTCATCAAACAAAAAGTGGAATTGCTGCAAAAAATGGATAACGACATGAAGAATGTGACAGAGAAGTTAGTGAAAACGAAAAAATTTCGATTGACAAGTTAGTCGGTATTCTCAGCACAGCAATTAACGGGATTTGAACAGCGGAACTTTGTAAGTGAACAAAAAATTATGTCTGTTTATAGAATTAAAGAGAAAGTATTATCACATAAAACAAAACAACTTACATTGAAAGAAATGTTTAATAAAGTAAACAAATAAATATTAAGCTTTTTTTTTTTGTAAATTTTGATACCCTTTAGATCATAATTGTTCTTTATTTTCATAAATTACGGTTTCATATTTTTAATTTTAGAATTTCTGCATGCCATCTTACACGATTTAAACTGATGATCTATAATCCGGAATCACCGAAGTCCCGACGAGTCCGGATTAACGACTTTTGACTGTACTACTCCGTTTGAGTAATATGAGAATGTGGCAAAAAGAATCACACAGGGACACAAATGCTAAACCAAATCTGCTCTAGAACAACTGTAACATAATTACAATGGGTAAAACTCTGATAAACGCCCTAATTTCACCAAATGTGGCGATATTATTTTTGGCTCAATTGTATTTATGGGGATCATAGTGTATTTTTGGAATTTCTGTGGGAGTCGGGACTTTTAAACGGAGTTTGACGTGTCTGAAATGCGGAGCTGATATGAGAACTCGGACGAAAAATGGTGTTTCTAATAGACTTGTGTGGGTTGCAGTAAAATTGTTGCTAATAAAGTATATGGGTGTCAGCGGAATTTTAAGGTTTGGATCTTGGTTTTCGTGTAGCAAGTTAATGTTGGAGGAAGTTTTGGCTGATCTTTAGAATATGGTAACTGGTAGTTTGGCGACATTTTGGAGGCGATAAAGGTTACTTACTACCTGGGACTTTGGTAATAATATGAGCAGTACTCAGTTCCGATTACGCATTATTTTGTGTGAGGGAAATGAGAGATCATGGGATATGTCATGTGATATTAATGGACGAATTACGGTTCTTTAATTGGAAAAGGGGGGAAATAGGGAAAAAATCTGGAAATTTTGCATTTGGCTTTATTCTGTGTTGTGTGAAACAGTGTTCGTTAATTTTTGGATCCCATGGCCCTAACTAAAGTGAATTTGAAATGGGTATTTAGTGGGATTGAAAGGGGTAGTAATAAGTGTTTCTTTAAGGTTGTGCGAGACAGAAGTAAAGATGTTTTATTAAGTTATTTATTTTACCTGGTACCTTGCTGTGAACTATAAGTATGATTTTAAAGATCCTGAAACAGAAATAAGAAAAGTTTATCGGACACGTAATCAAGATTCTGAAGAAGATTAGGTAAGTTAGTATTTTTAATTATTTGAGGATATTATTTTTAGTATTGTTCTAAATGTAAGGTGGAAGTAAAGTAATTTGGTATTATTGGCAAAATTGTTATCAGCAATGATTTAGTTTAAAGTAATTAGGATTGTAAGCTAATTTTTATTAATTTAATGTATGTGCTTATTTATTTTAAGTAGTGTTTTTGAATTTAATTATATTTTAATTAAATGATAGTTATTTTGTGAATTTTATGTTTGTAGGAATTTGGTATACGTTTTAGTTGAAGTAAACGTGCATGGAAATAATTTAAATATTTGACACTAATATTTGTAATGTTTGCGGTATGAATTCGTTGGTGACGTTTATAATATAATAGATAATTTAGAGGTAAAAGTTTTTGGATGTTTTATTTATTTTATACGTGGAAATGTTCATATTTGGAAAGGGTATATACTTTTTCGTTATTAGATAATTTCATATATGTTCTTTTTAACGGGTTTAAAGATTCAGAAAATTGTCATGCATTTTCGTGAAATTTTTCTAATTTATGAGAAAAAAGGAGTATACATGGATATGGTGAAGAGTGTGTGCAATGCCATTTTGTGCAATTCTGGGATTTTTTTTTAAGTAAAAATAGTCGATGTGTACATGGTTTAGTGATATTTTAATTAAATGATAGTTATTTGTGAATTTTAATATTTGTAGGGAATTTGGTATACGTTTTAGTTGAAGTAAACGTGCATGGAAATAATTTAAATATTTGACACTAAGTATTTGTAATGTTGCGGTATGAATTCGTTGGTGACGTTTATAATATAATAGATGATTTAGAGGTAAAAGTTTTTGGATATTTTATTTATATTATATGTGGAAATGTTCATATTTGGAAAGGGTATATACTTTTTCGCGATCAGGTAATTTCATATATGTTCTTTTTACCGGGTTTTAAAGATTCAGAAAATTGTCATGTATTTTCGTGAAATTTTTCTAATTTATGAGAAAAAGCAGTGTACATGGATATAGTGAAGAGTGTGCGCAATGCCATTTTTGTGTAATTCTGGGATTTTTTTTAAGTAAAAATAAGTCGACGTGTACATGGTTTATGTGTATGTGTTATTTTGAAAAACGCGCAAGGAGTATGGTATTGTGCACTTTTTCCCAATTTTATAGTGAATATTTGTCATGATTAAGCAGTTTTGTTAGATAAAATTTCTAGCATAAGTGTAATTCGGTTAGTAGATTGTTGGAAGAAGTGTTCAGTAGATAAAAAGAAAAGAAACATGTCTTTACTTCGTGAAGACAAAATGGCGGCGGGGAAAAAAAAATAGAGGGTTGCTGTAGGAGAGTTGGTCGCCAAATTTTCGCTAAAAAATCGCCAAGTTACCATAATGTAAAGATCAATCGAAGTTTTTATTGTTACTTTCGAAATTTTGAATCGTAGGAAGGCATATGATATAGCAAAATCGTGGAAGTTTTCTTCACAGACATTGTGTGGCTAGCAAAATTTTATTAACGAATGTATTTTGGACTTTGTATGCTCTGTATCTGAGAAGATAGGGGGGAAAGATATTTCTGCTTTTAAAACAGCTTTCATTATGGTAAGTGCATTTTATTGTTTTTATTTTGTAGAATGTTATATTCATTGTTTTTTGTATGAATTTCAGTTTTTATTGTTGTTTTCTGAATTGTCTGAAATTTATTTTAGTTTATTTTCTTGATTGGTTTTTAGTGTAGATTGTGCAATTTGTAGATTTATTTTTAAAAGTTTGAAACTGGATACGCTGTGTACATGGAATTCATTGAAATGTATTGTCATTATGTTAATTTATTAAAGCGAAGGTGTACATAGTTTCGTAGATTTGTTTGTTGCCTAGATTGTGCCATTTCATAGATGTTTTTTTTAAGTTAAAAAATATCGCTGTGTACATGGATTCTTGTCAAATATTTTTGGTTAGAAACTTTATGTTTTTGCTATCTAAATTTTTTGTTTTTGTTTCGGATTTTTAGCTTAAATCGTGTGTTCAAAACGTAGTTTTTGCATGTGCGAAAACCGTGTTTTTGGAAACATTTTAGGCTTCAAGTTCGAAATGTAGACAAAAAATTTAGATAGTAATATGGCAGCGTAAAGTTTCGCGCCAAAAATATTTGGCGACTTGAGTGTTCATATCAGAGTAGTTCCTTACAATGTTCTACAAGGACATATATTTCTAATTTTTCCAGTGACTTTTTGAAGTCTTTTTCAAATGCCATAATTAAATTATACATTTCTACCAAATTAAATTTCACCATAAAGTTAACGATTTCTTTCATAAAATGAACAACAATAATTCAATTAATCTTGATTTTTAAAGATTCAGTTACTTTCACAAGAGATATTCATAATATTAAAATATAAATATTTTAATAAAAACACGCGTACTGGAGAGAGCTTTACCTTTTCATTCTTTAGCGGAGTACGCTTTACAGGCTCTGTACTTTGGGCCAGCTTAGCTTTCTTAAACAATTCATACCTTTTATGCAATTCTGCCTTCAAATCGATGATCTAAACCAGAAATGAAGAATTTAGACAAACGTGAAAATGGTCAAAAAAGATTATTACTATGCAAAACTACATTCAGAAATACTCACAGACGAAGGATTAAGGTTTGAATTTCCAAGATCCATATCCCAATAACAACGAATGAAGAATTCAACAAAATAAATAGATACTCGGAAAATTTTAACTTATGTTTTCCACGCATTTAAAGGCCAAATCTTTCTGCCCGAAAACTGGCGGATAAAAAATTATGAGCGGTACAGTGTTGCCAGGTGGTGTGGGCTACTACTAAGAATATATAATGTTTCAAAGAAAGCAGTACTTCTTTTTACTCTGCAACGGGTGAAGACTAGTGAATGGAGAACTTCTAAGAGAGTTAATGATATTACCAGGAGGAGTGAGATCTAAATAGAAGGAACTGCTGGAAAGTTTTTGAATTCCGTCCACTTTGAGACCACGGTGGATATATGAATTTGGAGTGAACCAAGTTTTGATAATCTCTCTAAGTGTTTTGAAGAGCTTAGATATGTTGGAGGTGAGTTTTTGCAGCGTGGCCCCAGACAGGACTAGCATAGATTCATGCTGTTGGTCTGTTTATATAATAGGAGTTTATTTGAAGTGCCCATATGACTTCTTCTGCCAAGAAGTGGGTGCATGGTTGCAAGTGTGATATTAATTTTTTGCGCAGTTTCTGAGTTGTTTTTGAAAAGTCATTTTTTTAAAATCTAGAATGACTCCTAGATATTTAACTTCGTCAATCCAGTCAATTTCTTCGTAAAATAGATGAAGTGTTGGTGGTGTGAATTTTTTTGTCCTTTACGAAGAATTATTGTTTTTTATTTTGCAGAATTAAGTGCAGTCCTCCAAAGAGTGAGTCGATTTTCAAGAAGGTTGAGGTAATGTTGAAGAAAAAGCCGGACCGTTGTAACTGTAGAAGCTTAGGTCATAATTGCTATAGCACCTGCGAAAAGAGATATGGTGAATTTGTAGGTCTTTGAAGTACCATGATTGTAAATATCATATAAATATGGGGAAAGTTCTGACTTCTGGGGCACACCAGTAAAGATGTTCTCGCGGTAGAAAGAGTATTGCCAATTTCACTACAAAAGTTTTTGGAGTTAAGAAGCAATAAGTCTAATGCAATGATCTGGGAAGTTCAACGTATTTTTTTCCCCAATGGCAGATTGTGAATAGTTACAGTGTAACACAGTCCAATAATCTATACAAGGCCAGATGTGACGATCTCTTTATTATGGAGGCACCTAATAGGTGGGCCACCATCGCCTCCTATGAAGAGATGGACAGTTACAACCATGCCTTCTCCGGGATTCGAACGCAGACCTTTCGGTATCGCAGTCAGGCTTCCCTAACCTCTATACTGTCTGGGCGGCAGTTCAGCTTAATAAGTTTGTAGATAAGTTCCCGGTGCCATATACTATCCAAAGCTTTCGCAATGTCAAGGAATATGACTCCGGTAAATGGATGAATGTACGTACAATTGAAACTGTCAGTAATATAGCTGATGACACGGTACAGCTGGTGATTAGTACTGTGGCGAAGTCAGACAGACAAGAGGTAGCATAAATAAATTTATTAGGATTCTGCTCTAGGCTATATGCAAAAAATAAAACTTATAAAACATTGTTCTCATCCAAGGATCCTCAATCCAGGATATTTTATGCAAAACAAAATCTATAAAGCAGTCAAAATAAGAGATAAAATGTCATCCTGGCAACTTACTACAAAAAACTCAGCCAACTGCTTATGCTTCTAAAGCTCTAACGAAAAGTCAGAGAAAAATTATGCTCAGATAGAAAAAGAACTTCCAGCTATTACTTTTGGATATTCTAAATTCCATCAATATATATGAAATGTAATTTCTCATACATTATTTATTTTGTGCAGCCGGGGCAACAGGAATGAGACAAATTTTGGAATATAAAGTGGTAGGTTTATTTTAGCATCCATCTCACAAGCGTTTCTTTCGTAATTGGAGCTGAAGCCCTATTTATACCTATGTGTGCGTCACGAGGCTCCTCCAATCAGCGATATTAATTGAAATCATGAGGTGACGCTATCTTCTCATCAGGAGTGTTCTAAAGGACTTTATGTAATATGACAGATTTATGAGTTTGGCGATTTGGCGGGCGCCAACAGGTTAATATATTTTATACTAAAGAAAGGATTTCGCCAAAATTTAGGAACAGGGATGCAATTTAGGTAGAGAATCGCCAACACATTATTAAGCAATATTATTAGAATTTAATTTAATGAATTGATTTAAAAATATCATTACAGATTATCCCCCCCATCTGAAAAGGCTTGCAGTCGCGGCCGTCGACCGAAGACAGTTCAGATAGTGAGAGCAGAAAATTTAGTTATTAGGAAATTAAGTGAGTAGGAAAACTGATTGGATTTACCTCAAGGCACACAAAATGTTTACATAAAATATGACATAAAAATATTGAATATAATTAATACAGTATATAAAATATAATAAATGATTAATGAAATTATAATATAGTAACTAAGTGCAGAACAAATAAAGCACTAATAACATATTACTGGTTAGCTACGCGGCAATAGAAAATAGTAATGTAACTAAATTTGTAAGTTTATATCTTAGGGCATGTCATTCACAGTTTGTGTATGAGTGTCCGTAACAATCATTAGAGTTGTTCATTCAGGCTCATCTTCAGTCTTTTACTGGTCTTTGGAGATCTCTCCGGATCATTTAATTAGCGCTAGAAATATATGGATCAGCATTGGCACTGAAAACATTTGAGTTTTTATGTCACGATACTAGAGCTCTTATACTCTTGTTGAAAATACACATTTTGCTAGGATTTTTAACATATTTTGTCACTCTCGCTTTTTCTCTTATTAATGATAACAAAACAAAATTTAACTTCCAACATCCTATACCAGTTTTTTGTACACGATGCTGCAGAAACATAAAAAAGAAATTCAGAAATTTCAACAACTGAAATTTAAACTTTTTCAACTGTTGCTACAATTTATAACACAAACATAGGAAAATATGAGCTCAAGGAAATGTATGAGGGTATAGTACTCTACTTGTAGTATAGCCTCAATTGAGTGTTTTCCCACACGGGGAAAGTGCATTTGAACCTGAAACTCAAGTTTGAAGGAGCCTGCAGTAAAAAGAAAAGGGGCAGACAAAACTTTGCTGGCAAATACTGAGAGATAATCAACTATTAAGGGGGGACAACAGGGTGAAAACTAAAAGAAGGGTTATGGATAGTTTATTGATTTATAAATTTTGATTTATTCATGATGTAATTTAAAGTTCTCGGGTGGATAATAGAACCTTAATTTTGACGCATGTACAATCTCAGTTGGTTTCTTCGTGTGAAAATTTTCCCTGTCGATTTCATAATTAACTTCAGATAATTTATTCATAATCTGATAAGGGCCTGAATAGGGTGAAGTCAATTTTCTAGTATTTGGGTATTCGAATTCCTCGTAAAGGACAAAATCTCCAGGTTGAAATTTAGATTCTACAAATCTGGTGTCATATCTAGTTTTATTCTTTCGGTGGTATTCTATAGTTCTAAAGCCCTTGCTTACTTTAAGGAAGGGTATGTATTTTAATCAGCTGGAGATTCAAAATGGAGATCACCAAATAGTAAGTATGCTGGGGTGAACTTACCGTATGAGGGGAGTTGTTATATTCGATAGCAACTTGCTCTAGCACTTTAGTCCATGGAAAGTTTTTAGAAGAAGAATTTACTTTACATTTTAGTCGAGTTACTATTGACTGATTTACTCTTTCTACTTTACCATTTGTTTGGGCATGATGAGATGAAGTTAAAAAGTTGTTTAACATATTATGCTTTTTAAGAAATATTTTGAATCTAGAGGACGTGAAGGCTGCATTTCTGTCACTCAGAATTCTTTCGGGGAACTTGTATTTGAAATATTTGTTTTAGGACAATTGGCATAGGTTTCTGAAGTTACACTTTTAGAGGGAAAAGCCCAGACATATCTTGTTGCATGGTCAATAACTATAGGTAAATATTTTTTGTAGAATTATAATAATTAAATCCTCCCACAGTGTCAATAGAGAGACATTCGAAAGGTTTTGTCGGTTGGGGTACGTCTTGCATAAGACCAAATTTTTTCTGTTTTTTCTTTTTATTAAGTTGACAAGTATGACAATGTTTAACAAAATTTCCGATATCTTCGCTAATATGAGGCCAATAATATTGAGGGGTGATTAAGTTAAGCATAATTTGAACTCCCGGGTGACCAAAATTTTCATGGGTTTTATTCAACAATTTTAATCTTAAAGATTTAGTACTACATTTTTTTATAAAAAATTCTTTTCTTAATTACCATCATATTTAGTAATTTTATGGCAGTTTTTGACATATACGCTAAGTGCATTACCTTTTAGATATCGAGCTACATTATTAAGCTTCCACGTTTCATCTTTATCTAAATGAGCTTTGTTAAAGTACTCAAGCCATGAATTTATATCCATATCATTCTGTGCGTCAGGTTCAGCGCTAGCTGCCCTTAATGAATCATCAGGATCAGAGATGTTTTCATTAGCCATTATTCTCTTAATAATACTTTCATAAATAAAACTAATAATACTTTCATAAATAAAACTAACTCAAAAAATAATACTCTCTAAATTTTTCCCAAAACAATATTGAAAACCAAAAAATACTCCTTTAAATACCAAATTTAAAATACATTATACCAAAATAATACTTTTTAAAAATTTTCAAAAAAAAAAAAAAAAAAAAAAAACACTATTATTAAATCAGTTATTATAATTCAATAGTAATAACATTTGCATCGCCAATCTTTTTAATAATTGCTTCTGTTTGACTTATTGTGACGAGAATACGAGTGATGAAATCGACACGAAAATACACATTTTTGTGCACTCTTGATTAGATTTTCGCAAAACACGATCAATCACCACACAAGCACAAAGCTCTCGAGAGCAACACAGAACGGCGTAGACGTAGGGAAAGATTTCCATCCTCAAAAGTAGGTCAACGGTAAGAGCACATTTGATGAACGACGAACTTTCGATGGAAACACAGATCAACGCATCACAGGGGGCAGAAGGATGCTTCTCTGGACGTAAAATAAGATGCTTCTCTGGACGTAAAATAACATGCTTCTCTGGACGTAAAATAAGATGCTTCTCTGGACGTCAAATAATCTGCAGAATACCAGAATATAGGT